TCGAAGCCCTCCTCTCACTTTATTAAATGTGACAAAATGTGGAAATTGGAAAAGTTAGGACAGGCATCTGTTAAAATAAAATGATCCCTTACCTCACGAGCCATCTGTCCTTTATAGAAGGAGCGCCATCTAGTGGCCATATGCACTGAGGCATAAAATGAATATAACAGCCTGCCCATACTGGGTTCTAATACAAAATCACCCTCCAACTTCACTGTTATTTCCTGGCTCTGAAACCCTTGTTAGTGCCATTTTTTATTCTTCTGTGCTGTCTTCTGAGTTATAGGGAATTGAATCAGTCTCTCGGGGTAGGTAATGCCTAATGTCCCGATCCACTTTCTGCCTATGTGTGTCTGCCGTCTCCTTACACAATTTCACAAAATATTAATTCATTTATCTGATGCCTTTATCCAAACCGACTTGCATAGAGGGAAGGGTTACAATTTATGGATAGCACTTCACTTGATGGGACAAAAATCTTAGTAATAACTCAGTTACTACTGATGAACAAATAATTAACAAATATAGCCACTACTTGAGATAAAAGATGCGTCACGATTCAGCAATGTCAAACAAATACGAGATCAGTATTTATCTTGTGTTATTCATTAGTTCCTTAGTTGTTCCTTCAGTAGTTCACAGAATGAACAGATTTAGTAACAAATACAGTAACTGCTTGAGATAAAACATGTGTCATGATTCGAACAAGCATTAGATCGGTATGTAACTAAGACTTAGTTTGTGGTTAATTAATACATAAGCAAGAGTATAATACTATATTATTTGTGTCCCACCAAGTGTGACCCAACATATGTATCAGCAGGGATCTGAACCCATGACCTTTACACTGGCAGCAAGGTGCTTTACTTACTGACCTACAAAAGCTCACAAATACAATAAAAAAAAGGTCTAACTGCAGCAGAGCATTTTCAGGGTTGGTGTCACAAACTGCATGGTGGCCTGAAGTTCTTCCACCTGACATCTGCAATGGTGCTCCTCAGTACAGGTGTTTGTATACTGAGGCACCCCGAGGGCGCCCACCCTCCCCAGGGCCTGGGCCCAGCAGCTGGAGGGTCCGGCCAGCGTGTCCAGTGTCTCTGTGAGGTCAGGGGGCCCCTCGATCCCCTAGAAGGTGGCATTAATGCAGTGTGACAAACATCACTGAGCCTCCATCTGCATCACAGGAAATTCCACATGGAAAAATGCACCAGATGCTGGAACACAAGCATAGAGTTTGGACTCCTGCCATCTATGTGTCAGGGCTGCAGATTCATCGTTTTTTTTGATCCAGTGTCCATATATAGTATCTGAATGTTCATACTAATACACTAGTACCTTCAAACTGATCGGTTTGCGTTGTATTCATCAAAATTTAAACCATTTTCCTATTATTTACTGCAAATAAATTCTGCTAAACACATTATGTGGTCAGACAAAAATACTGAGTATGCAGATGAATAACTATAATATTATACCAACAAATATCTAATGTATTGACATACCAGACCTACTGAATAAGCTGATGCTTGATTCTGAAAGTGACTCTAAAAGTGATAAAAGGGCGCCCTCTTGTGGTATGCAAGCGAACCAGAAGGACACAAACTGTCAACTAACGTTAAACCAGAGCAAGAGATTAATACGATGGTACGTGGATAATATTTAAAAACAAAATAACACTATGGACACGTGGAAACATTTAATAGAGGAGCCGCCCTTAGATAAAATATCCAAAAAAAGAACGACAAATGAGCCTGTTAGTTAAATAAATACAAGTCCTAAGATTCACCTGATCGATTATCTAAAAGCATTAAAAATAAGTGCATTAAAAAAAAATTAAAAATTGGCTACGTGATAGTATCTGGAGGCACTTATACTCATTAAAGTAACCTTCCTTTTCATTAGGTGTCATCCAACACTCATGGGATTTCTGCTTATTAAGCCTTAATCTCTGTGTGTCGATCTTAGTGCTGCTTTTGATACTATTGATCACATTAGCGATACTTCTATGCTTTGTTACTCTGTAAATCGTATTTAATGAGAAACTGCATCGCCAAAGCTATAGAAAGATGAGTACTTATCCACACTGATCTATCACACTCTTAGATTATGTAGCAGGTTTTCTGGGATTCCATCAAATAAGCTGATAATCCCTCAGTAATCCCTTCAGAGTCACTAGTGTAGCCTAAAGACTGGTTATGACTGACATGAGTGTAACTGCGTAGGCTGCCATAACTCCACACCTGTGGGTGACGGCCACAGCGGGTCAGCAGAGGATGGCGTTTCTTCCACACTTCACACCACCCTGACTCATCTGGAAACTATCAACCGTCATGCCAGGCTGCTATTCACGGATTACAGCTCCGCATTCAACCCGATCATCCTCTCCAGACTTATCTCCAAGCTCTTAGGCCTAGGATTCAGCAATCGGACCTTCCTCACCGACAGACCACATCATGTAGGAATAGCCAAGTGGACCCCTGTCGCCCCAACGCTTAACACCGGCACATTTCAGGGCAGTGTACAGAGCCCTTTGTGCTACCCCCCCCCCCTATTCCTGATGGTGTGGCCATAAATAGCTTCTCATAAATCTCCATTGTGAAGCTTGCTGATGACATCATCATTACGAGACGGATCGGCAACAGAAACGGGATGGCCCGCGGGGAGGAGATGGAACTCCTAACAAAAGCGATCAGGACAATAACTTCTCCCTGAACAGCAGCAAAACCACAGAGCTAAACCACGGATTACAGGAAGCAAGTGACTGATCACAATCAAATCTGCATCAGCAGAGCCGCAGGGGTGAGATGAGGCTCAGCGGCGGAGAGTTTCCGTCACCGAAGATGTCGAAAGGACTGGACAAGTGGCAACTGTGGCAAAGGCGGCCCAGCGGTGCCCATACGCCCTCAAATGTCTGAGGAAGACTGGAACGTCACTGGCAACTCCGAGCACTTCCTGCGGGTGCCTTGCAGAGTCGACCCTGACACAGCAGCTGCTCAGCCCAGGATCGAAGAGGGTGATGAGGACATCTGAGGATCTGGACTTGTCTGCCTCAGAAAAGCCCCACGCGCAACGACAGAGCCCAGCCATCCAGCAGTCATCCCCTCCACACTCCACCGGTACGTCAACATCCAGGCTTCAGAAACAGCTTCCTCCTCAGCATCCACTGCCACCGTAACCTCACCACCTTTTTGTCTTACTTGTACGTTATTGTATCTTGTATGTATCTTGCAAATTATTTGCATACTGTACATATTGAATGTATCATTCACTATTTTGTCCTGTTTATTTATATACTGCTTAAGTCTTCAGGGAGGTATGCAAGCTAGTATTTCATTGTACTTGTACAAATGATAAAATAAAAGGTTTGAAATACTTTAAGTCTATACATAACTGTAATGCATCTACAGTATTTTCACAACTGATCTCATTCTCCACTCCTCCCCCACCAAGACTAAGAATCTCTTTGCACAGCCAAAGACATCAAGTTGAAAGACTTGCACCCTGACTCACACCACTGGCTGACAGATCACCCCTAGGTTCCTACCAGAGCACTGAGCATGACACACTCACTCCTGGCCCTAATTACTCACACCTGTTCCCAGTTTGTACAATGTCTATACCCCTGTGGGGAGCCAGTTGACCCTGGGTCACCAGAAGTTTCCCCGTTCATTCGTTTCCCACTCGGGAAACGACACACACACGCATCAGATAATTTCCTTGTACCTTCAACCACGTTCAGCTTTAATTGCTGCCAACTCACAGATGATGCGGCTCTCGTCATTAAACCTCCGAGCACTTTGGCGTGACCATGCAGGGATGGGCACTGCATTTTAAAAAGTATATGAGGCATTTACACACAATCGATTTCCTGAAATTGTGACAAAGTTGCAGGGCGTAGCACACTTGACTCTGCAGAACTCACCCGACAACTTGCATGACTACATGCACACATGACGACTCGAGAATTCAGAAGAGGATCGTTACGGTGCCACTGTTGCGCTGACGCATAGAGAACCAGTGGCTGACTCTCAGCAGTGCGGTATGTGAATCAGCCAGGCACTTCTTTAGGAAAACTCATACTGGCCGAAGGAAAAGGAGCCAACACTCTAAAGAGGCACATCTTTAATATTTTTTTTTCTTAACATTTGCTAAATGAAGAACCTTCGCATTTCCAAGAGGTACAATATACATACGACGCGAATCAAAGTGTCCCTGCACCAAGTACTCGCCGCGGTCACCGTGGTCTGCCCCAGCCCCTGTTCACACAGATCTAAGGGTGCGACCAACAGGCAGAAAGAGGGGGGGCATCACTCACTTAAGTGACATGCACTTCCAGGATAGATATTTACATACATACTATAGGGCTAGATTTATGAAGTCGCGGATATAGTCCCTCATTCAATAAAAGCAATTAAGGCAAACTTATTAAATGTGCTTATACTGCTTAAGTAAAGGCATCTGGATTTAATACAATACATTAATACATCTGGGGAGGGTAGCTGGGGACACCAAACCCTTACAAACAGAAGTATGTGAGTGTGACAATACATTTCAAACCGCTTCCCATCAAAGCAACCGGCACCCGTGACGTCGCTGGAGGTCTTGGCGTCCTCTTTCCTGTTTTGACTTCACCCACTTCCTGCCTTGGTGGGGGCGGAGCCTGAAGGAAGCACCTACAACCTCATTCACTTTCTGATGGCATGTGATGGAATGGAACCAGGAAAAAACCTCAGAGCACTTGACATCTAAGCAGTAACGTGTGTGTGTGTGTGTGTGTGTGTGTGTGTGTG